TTACTATAAAAAAATAATCTCGATAATGATGTTTCTAAGAAAGAATAGTAAATTCGAGACAGGTTGCTTTAAGGAGTACAGCTACAAAACCCTGTTGGCCTTTTAAAATAATACAATATTAAAAGTGATATTATTTATAAATTAAATTAACAGAAACCGCTGTTTAATAACGTAATATAAAAGTCAATTGATAATATTCAACAATATATCGTACAAAATTCACTACGTGCGTTTATGAAGGCACTTCTTTAAGAGAAAGGTACGAAGTGTAACTTTTTAATGGAATAATAAGCTTAATGCTAAAAGGAATTTATGTCTGACAAACAAAGAACTAAATAAAAATGAACATAACATGACAAAACTTTAGTACGTTAAAAAATAGCTCGCGTGATCGGCGAGAGTTTGATCGTACTAATCCGTCAAGCTATGCGCAAGAGCATGGGCCGTGACGTCACGCAAACTTCCGACGGGAATATATTTTTTCTACACTAAAAATTGTTTCTTCGACCAAAATTACGCGAATCACGCAATTTTAAACTCTTTCGCTAACGCAAGAAGGCCACAGACGAGAGGTATTGCAAGTTTATTAACGTTACGGTCTGATACATTAACTGATCTCAAACTTATATAGCGAGGAATTATGAATACGTATATTATATTGTTTGTATTTCAGACGACTTCGAACTGATGCTGTAAAGGTATTTATAGACTTTTATATCACTATCAAATATTCGTCCGACAATTATGGCTTACAAAATAAACCAAAATATAATATTCGCGTAATCATTCTATAAGCACGTTTTTCAATTCAAATAATTGAAAGGCGCAACAAGATGTTTCGCATTTATACAACTATCGTATAGTTATAACGGTACAGCTGATAAAGTTATAATGTTAATTCCCATGAAAGTTAATATTTTGTGAGCACAAAAATATTTTAATACAAATGTATGTATGACCTATGAAGATTATTTTGATAAGGGGCCGAAGCCGCAGGAGTGAGCAATAAAATACGACACGAGTAATTAAGCTCTGCCTATAGATGCTCACGACGTTATCTTCAAACTATAAGCGTTTCCTGCATATGAAGATAAAATAAAAAGAACTATAAAATACATTTTTTAAAGTATATATTATTTGATATTTATAAAAGTTGTGCTACCTTAGAAGCCAGACGGTGGCTGGCGGCCTACACCCAACGATTCACTGAGAGCCCTTTTATTTTATTTACATTAATTTAAATGTCAAGTAAAGCGTTGTGCACTTGTGAACCATTATTGTTTCGAATTACTTAGCACTTAAGAGAGTTTATTTAAAGTAGATAAGTTTCAGGAGAACGAATTCTAGATTGAGTCTCAAATTGATCTTCCACTAGTGGAAGTTTCTAGAGAAACCAAGGCCTAAACAATCGATTTATATTTCAATATATAAAATTCTCTGTTGAATTAAAATAAACTTATATTGTTTTTACTGTATAAAAGTCAGTATAAAAGTCTTTAGTGCATGAGACAAATTATGATGTTTCGTCATTAAATATTTTTTTGAGTAATTTTGCAACTATGCGAGTTAAATTAAAAAGTTTTGAATATATCCTATTGTCAGTTAACAATTTTCCCACAAAAGTATAGATTCAAGGTGCCTCTGGAATTTTAATCAAATCGTCAAAAGAGGCTTAATATTTCTCACCTTCATAACAAAGGCATCTGTTTATTTTTGGAGCATGACATCTTAGCAATTATAACTTTATTTGAATAATAAAAATATGTATTTCGCATAAAACAGATATACAATGGTATGTATAAAATTTCACTTGCCGCGCACCAACGATTGTTCTGAATATTCTCAGTGTTGAGAATAATGCAAATGATGACAAAAAAGACATTGAATCGCCTAAAATATATTTCTTAAAACAAAATATTTAGTTTTTAACAAGTTTGCTTAAATTATTACTAGTATTTTTTTCTAATTTATAAAATAATAATAATATATTTTATATTATATTGTTAATCCAGTTGGTCGATAGATATTTGGGGGTAGAACTTAAAAAGTGAAAAGTCACAAATATACTTGGTATTTCTGATATAAACATTAAACAGTTACCACCTTTCTGCAGTGCCTTGGTTCTCATAACCAGTTTTATTATGTCGCCTTAAAATGATTAAAATGATCAGCTGCCTATAATAATTAGTGTTACAGATGCGAAAATCTCTATGTTATTGAAATTATCTATCATAGCATACAATATACACAAAATTAGAAACTTTTAAGTACACGTTCCGGTCAAACACGACGCCGGCGCAACGATCGAATATCTCTGACAGACCAATCAAACATGCCGTTGCTCCGATGCCATAAACCGTGTTTAATATATACGCATAGCCTTACCCGTTGAAGACTTTTATGAGCAATTTAACAAGAGTCTTGTTGTCAGAGCAAGATTTGATTTATATACAAATAACATACCTTTACGAGATACCTTTGTCTCTTAAATTTCAACCGCTTTAGTAGCCGATAACGTTATTTGAGAATGGACGTTGAGATAAAAGCGGCCGATTGAATCAAACACTTTTTTAATGTTGATTGAGCAAGGCTTCTACTTAAGTAGAAGTTTTATTAGATCACCTTAATTACATGTAAACCAATTGACTATCATAGTACAAAAAAAGAATATTCAATCGCATTTCCTACGCGTATGAATTGTTTTTAGGAACTTTTTTTTTTTAATTTCACAAAGATCCTTTGCGTCAAGACGAATCTATCGTGACATGCGCTTCGTGTCACAATTTATTAATGAATCGATGCGCACTTTGTAGATCTTTGGAATGATTAAGAAAGGCGACGATGACTACAAAAACATTAAGTAAATATCAATCAATATTTTATACTGTAATGCACATAATACATAAATGTATAAAACATTAAGACATTTCATCACGTGTGCAAATATTATGTTTAAATAATTATCGGTAATTTGTTAACATTTAAATTCCGGAAACATTTACGAAAACGTTTGTTGAATATACAACGTCAATAAAGCCTCAAAACGTAGTGCCCCGTGGTCACAATCTCCCATCTAAGACATTATCTACTTGTGAATAGCAAATAGAAATTTTAAACAGCTTTACTTGATAACACATATAATTTCTATGAAACATTTATAAAAAGTAAGTCTATTTAAATACCCATTTAATTAACCCTTTATTATTGTTAATTATTAGCAGAAAAAGAGTTCACACATTGCTGGGGCGTTAGCGCATGTCAAAACATTAAACACAAGTAATAGATATTGATCTAAGACATAGTATTATCAGTTCTAAAATCTATTTTCTCACATTATTAATATTGACTGGAATATCTGCACTACGGTTTTTTTAACGCATAATTGAATTACTATGTACATTTAGAACAACCACGCTTTAATATAAGAGGATAAGCCAAACTGTTTCTTAATGTTTCTTAACATTTAAACATAGTATGACTTTATTAAATATAATATTTACTCTCTTCGTTCGTCTATTCCCCACGCGTCGTCCGTTCCGCAGATGTACTAAAGAGATTAGAGCGTGCTTGATATGACCGTTGTGATAATGCAAACTGACTTGTGACCAGGGTGGGCTGTAAAACGTACATCAGATAGAAGTTGAGATGGGTGACAGCCCACATCAGTATTGCGCGCCGAAATCTAGCGACGTAGGCATAAAACACACGCTTAAGACACGTACAAATAATTCTACTACTAACAATTTTTTTTATGTTTCGTACGCCCTTGTAAATATATTTTTAAAAGCTTAATTGAGAAACGTTAATATATTATTAATGGAACGAGGGTTTAACAGGCAGGAGCCTCACCTGTCTCCTTATTCTGTAAATGTCAATGATCGAGTCACTTGCGAACTGTATTCACAAAACGCAGTGATTGGTCGATTACACTTCTTCGGCCTACCTCTTCTGATATTAAGAGACATCACCGCCAATAAACAAATGTTAAAAAACGGACATTTTCATATATTTTTGGTTAAAATACTCAAATATTTACGGACCTAATTAATAATTTTCTAATTGTAAATTAAATAATAACACTTCACATTATAGTAAATAAAAACAATTTTTATTAAAATATATAAGGTATCACTGAGAAAATTATTTAATAACAATAAAATTTTAATTAAATATCATAAGTAGGCAATAAAATTGTAATAAGAACATCTTACATCACTTTTTATCTTTTTATTTTTGTTTGAAATTTTATATTAAATAAATAAACACTATTGTAAAACTGCATCAAAGTTATGCAACGAATGGGCATTATTGTGGTTATCATAGGTTTTTTCAGCTACTATTATATATGTATTATGTAATAAGTTGTAGGTTTCTAACGCGCAGTGTTGCTGAGGCCGTATATGTTCGAATTCCGGCGGAACCAATACTTTTCGTTCTATGTACGCATTTGACACTCGCTCGGTGAAGGAAAAAATCGTGAGGAAACCGGTAAGTCTTAGACCCAAGTCGACAGCGGTGTCAGACACAGAAGGCTGATAACCTACTCGTTAAAATTAATCACGACACAGATAGAGAAATCTGAAGGCACGGTTTGTATCGCCACTGTTTTTTCTTGCAATAAAAAATATACTCAATATTAATTAATGAAGTAACGCACGTTGTTCAATCTTAGGAATAAACTTACAGGTGTTGAAAGGTTAAAAAACAATACTATTCGAATATCCAGTGGAAATTAGTATACTTGAAGATTAATTAAATTTACTTTAAAAAAGCGGTTATCCTAACATTGAACTCTAAAATCATATTAGAATGCTTTAATTATGACATATATAAATATTTTGGACATTTAATTTTATAATTTTCATGTAAACACAATATTATCAACAGAATGTAAAAATTTTACGAAACCCATTACTGTTTTTCGTATATTATTTTAAATTTGTATTTCTTTACTACTTAAAGACAACGTGTGTGTACATACAAACTAGTGCATACAAAACTTACCTTAAATAATCATTTTTGCAGAAAATATTGCTATCCCTAGCGTAACAACGTTGCTCCGAGTCTAGCGGCATTTTACATTCGCAGCACCTCAGGCAAGGGGTGTGCCAGCGACGTTCGAGGGCAAGTAGGTAGTATCGATCCGTGATTCGGGAGCCGCAACCGGCACAGCCGTCCTCTGCCGGCGGGGGTGGCGGCTCATCTGGTGGCTCCCTCTTGTGACACGACGTGCAGTCACGAGGTGAGCCAGGTGATGCAGCAGGGGCAACAGGGGATAATTCGGCGCCTGTCTCGTATGCAGAAGATAGGTACCGCTCACTCTGTTGCTGGAAATATACGTTCCATTTAATCAATTGAGCCACGGACTTCACATCAATCGCACTCAGAGACATCCATTAAATTATTTTCAATAAAAAATATCTACAGAACTTTGTGACTCAGCTATGTAATTACCGAATAGTCAACGACTCATTTAAGGAAGCATCGAAAAATAAAGGTTTTTATTTGGTAACCGATTCTATGGTGCATTTATTTTAATCTGTATAAAATGGCCGTTGAAGCAAAGCATTTCACATGATCAAAGGCTTAATTAACTTCTAAGCCTTAAACTTGAGATTTGAATGTCGCGTTTTTGCTAAGCAAAACACCGTTAGTCGAAGCGAAGTCCGTTACATTAAACCTATGTTAGCCTTTATTTAATATACTAATTTAATATTTATAAAAATATCTGCTAACTACAAATAAGTGGGAAGGATAAAATAACTAACATTCACGCACAATACAGACAAAATTCTTGTTTGCGGTTTGTAGCCACAAAATGAATGCGGTTTTGTGTGGGCAATGTGTACGCAAACAAGTTTAGTGGATAAAAGAACTATATTTAAACAAATTACAGACAAAAATGTAATATATTTAAGTGATATGGTACTGATATGGTTTATTTCCTAAATATAAACTAATTTATTATGTTATTTAATAATTAAAAAGACGCCGACTACATACCTAATTTTTATTTTATGAACGAAGAGAATTAACCAAGCAATTATAAAAATCAAGTATTAATAAGAATTATATTAAAATAATATTTTATAACACAGAGTCCTATCACATAATTTTGAATATTTTTTAATAGAATGATCATTTATGAAACTATATGTAAGAAGGAAACGGAATAAATATTAATAGTAATTGAAAATGTAGCGCCTTGCCCTTCGCGGCCGGCGGCAGGCTCGTACCTACTATAAAAAAATATTAAAGTAACGCAGTTTCGTGGTTCACTATTAAGGTTATTATTTTTAATAAAATTTAACAATACCACAGAACCTTGAACTCACATTCTAAGAACTGTAATTCTCTTCTATTTCTTCACTAATTATATTGTGATAACTTCTTAACGCTACAATACAAAAATTAATGTTACACGATATTGGTATTTTTCTTAAAATTTACACACAATTCTAAGAATATTTTTAGGCAAAATCTTAGTACTTAAATATTTTATTAATCAAACGTCACTATTTCTCATGGGCTGCAAATTGTATTAAAAAATGCATACCTGAACTATGACATGATATGTGGTTATACTCGTAACGGTTAACAATAAAGGGAGGTTTTACAGTCCAGTCTGTACAGTAATTATGCGGTATGTCCAAATAATAGTATTATGGTTTACTTAATTTCCTACAATTCTGTAATTAATTAATTATTACAGAAAATCAAATAACATTCATAATGTTTGATCATATTTGCGGTGTGTCCTGACCTCATATAAAATATTATTTATTTTATATCTCTGGCGTTATATTGTTTGTATAAAAATAATGGTGGTCTGGCAAAAAAATGTATCCAACTGACAAATGCTATGTGAAATATAAATAGTTAGATATAATCCTAATTTTCATAGACTATACAAGTTATAGCTACAAATTTTTAAATTTCATTTAATAAATAAACCAACCCAGTTCATAAAACTTTGATATAAAAAAACTATCCATCTCTTTTCGTCACAATACACACAATACAATTTGACAAAATAAGCCCAGTGACTTGTATCGCTTCAGCTTACACGCTTTTCAGAAGCTATTCCTAAATTGATTCTCGTCCGATTGTATAAGGGATCCATCTGCAGCTGTATATTATTTCCATTACAGAAGTAAATCGTGTCGGCAGGCTATTGAAACTCTAGTCTGAATTTCAATGGTCCCTAGGAAACAGTCAACCATCGAGTATCAAGTACAGACAATCACTGGAGTATTCAATGAAGTGCATCGTTAACATTGATGGCAAAGAGTTGCTATTTAAATAGCCATTTATTTAATTCAGACAGTGGCTATGACACAGATTATGCTTCACAGCTTTGTTCGTCGGAATAAAATAAATGGTACCTTTCTACAACTTTCAGATTTTTTCTTAGTAAATTTAATTGGACGCGCGCATGAATTTATGAAAAATACGTCATTGTTTAAGCATGAAATATTATTTAAAATTATAACTTCGCATTTATTTTTGTAAATCATTAAAAAATCTAGTTATTTTTAGAGAATTATACTAAGTAAGTAGTTCGGTTCAACGACCCCTAAGAAATTAAAAAAATGCTTTGAATTTACCTATAGATTTAAAGTCATAAGCGTGAGAGCAAACAATAGTTTAATGTCAAATTTATTTGGTTTGAATTTAGAACATTCTAAAAATATTTTTTTTAATAATATGGTTATGTTTTAGTAAGCCATTACGAAAATCTTTTTTGGGAATTTATTCTAACAGTTACAACAAATAGCGTTCCTATCACAATCTAAGATTTTGTAGGAAGTGCTGTTACTCTATCATTACAGCTTTAAGTTTTACTATAGGTAAGATGGCAATAAGCTCAGTGTTTAGAAACCAGTGTGCGTTTTTAAAATGGAAGTTGTTTTTATTCGAATATTGTACGATCTATGGATATCTACTCTTACCATTACATTTGACACATAAAAATATATATATATTATATATAGGCCAAGGGTACATACTTGCGGTGTCCAATTCCACGGTAATGTTTCATGATATGTAGATTATATTCGGATACACAACACGTGGGCAATTTTGACACTCAAATAGTAATTTTAAAATATAATTATTATACTTATATATTTTTAATTTATGGGCAAGATTAGAAATAACATTTTCATAGGGCAAACTTTCATAGAATCAAACTAAAGTACTCGTTCTAAAATAAGGCTGCGGTTTCTATGCATTGAATAATAAAAAAGAACCTCATTCGTATTTTTTAAAGTCGGTTAAAAAAATTATGCCCATGACTAAAAATTTCTCTTAAATACTACCAATTAAATACTTTTAAATTATTTTCCAGACAATTATGTTACTAAGTATTGCATAGTTTATATACACATATAATCGCATCTGGAGCATAATATATATACCTAGTCCAGCCATAAGTTCTGTTGCAAATGAAAATGCATTTTTTTAAATGAAGTCATTGTAATATTATTAAAATTTATACCCACATATTTATTAAAGTTATAGCAAAAAATTAAATAATATTCTATTTGAAATGGCCACCTTTGGCTTTTACACAGGCCTTTAATCTGTTTGGCCATGTATCTATGGATTTACGCACTGTTTCCAAGGGAAATTTCGCCACGGCTTGCTCCAAAAATTCTTAAAGAATTAAGAAAAAATTAAGTCGCCGTTTCGTTTAGAGCAGGCCATGTCCTCTAAAACTGACCATAATTTGAAGTCTAAAGGTCTCGGCTAGATGAGGGCTAGTCTTTAGCTCTTATAAAGTCCGGAACGTTGGTTTGAAGCCAGGCTTGGGTAATAATAATAATTTTTTCACAAAAATTTAGTGACTCCTTGATAAGACACGTTCCACCAAACCATCACAAACGCAGGATGATGACCACGTTGTTCCTTTCCGACCGCTTGAGAGCTACTAAACTAATTAAAACTGTGAGCATACACTTTATTATTTTGCTTATTGTAGTGTTCGTCAATCGTGAAATTTTTTTTCATCGGTAAAGAGGATATATTTCTGTGCTTTTCACCTGAATATCGCGGCAGACGGCGTTTTCGTTCGATCCACTATCTTAAATTTTAAAGAATAATTTAGGGCATTAACTGTAGTTATATCGACGATAAGCACCGAGCTTCAGGTCTTGTTTTATAATACGCGACAGACTCCTAGCTCTTAATTTCTCGCGATAGGATGTTTTGCGATGGGGTTTCGACGAATTCTGGCTTTAACAGCATAACAGCCTATGTAGTTCCCCGCCCCGATTTTTTCTGGTCTTCGACAGACTCTTCAAGGTCTTCGAAGTGTTGTTGTACTGTCGATAGTACGATATACGAACATACGGCTGGTGCCAAGCTTTTGAAGTGTCTGGAATAAGACCGACGGCTCCATACCCACTTTGTGCAAGGCGATCGCTGCAATCCTTTTTCTTTAACACCCTATTCCATATTGCAATTAAATAAATAACACGAAAAAATATGTGAAATGGCGCAAAATCTACAGAAGTTTTTAAAATAATATTGGTGTTTCAAAATAATTTTCATTTGTAACAGAACTTATGGCCAGACTAGTTAAATCTTAATATATATATTTCTTCTGTGCGTGTGTATGTGACTGAACTCCTCTCAAACGACTGGACCGATTTTGATGAAATTTTTTGTGTGTGTCAAATCAAGGGGATCTGGGAATGGTTTAGATTCACAAATCAGCCCGGCAGATGGCACTGCAGTCGGTACTTTCATACTTTGTTTAATATCCTAATCGCTTTAAATATCATGCAGGACAACGTCTGTGGGGTCCACTAGTATACATATATATTGAATTTATATAATCATAGAATTACCTATAAGATTATGTATACTTTAACCTATTAATAGCTACACTAAAGATTTTATTAACAGTTCTTCTTACATAACAGTTACAATATATATTTCCTTATATTATAAACTAAAATAAACACTATTTATTTTCACTTTTCCTTTGAAAAATGGATTAGATGGAATTAATGTTACTCATAGGTAGGTACCTCCTGTCTCAGCGCAAATTGAATTGGATGGCAAGAGATAAATTAATTTATAATAGTGAAAATAGGAATATTTAGTTCACGTAATTTCTCTGAGCTTTGCTAGTAATATGTTTAAAACCCACAAATTAAATCATGTTCAAGCCTTTCTGAATAATTATACAATTATTAAACTTTATTGACGCCACAAACCAAATGGAATTTTTACAACATTCAATCAAAACATTTCGTTCAACGTTATATTACTTTAAATTTAATTAAAATGATTTTAATTTGATATTTTAACCGGTTTGAATACTATTAAACCAATGGGTAAGGGGCGTTACAGCGGTTGTTGCATTTGTTTCGCTAGGAATCAAATCACGGACTACAGTTTTATATGCCTAGTACATTATTCAGTTACGTAACAATATTATATAGAACTGTTTACATATACTATGAAATGGTATTAAAATATGTTGAAAAATTGAGGGCTGGATATTTCTTGATTGATTCTCCGTAATTTAAAAGTACCTAATCAAATTATTCAATAAATGCTAACTGTAGACTTAGGAAAGCGAACTCATAAGAATATCGTAATTGGTTTATAATAATAATATAAATAAAGATGTTTATAGTTCAGGATATCAGGCCTAAGTGCGAGCGTGTTCTTTTACTTAAAATTATTCTAATTTAATTATGACTATATACGAAAGGGTTAAGTGTTACGGATTTTTAGAACTAAGTTATTTAATTTTGTTTAAGATCTAACCAATCGCAAGCTAAAAAAGGTCTTAAGAAATTGACTACAAATTATATAATTGCACCGTTTTTACCGTTTACATAGGTACATAATTATAATCTGCCATTATAGATAATTTAATATACGACTCTGAATGCGGTCTCCGTATGAAATATAAACTTTCTAGGTTATTTAAAAGTTCTTACTAATACCTCTTAGTAAAGTTTGATAAATAATACGTTTTATTGCGTGTATTAAATGTAATATTTTAAACTAAAACTGTATACCGTTATACTAGAAGTTTTCATGACACGTTATAAATCTGTGACCGTTAGGATAAAACATATATTTCAATATACATATAATACTTCAGATTACCTACATATTATAACGTATGAATATAGTAAAAAATTGGTTTAAAAAAATATATACATTAATTTTACGTCATTAAACATACATATTTCAGTAAACCTACAAGGAGCGTGCCCTACAACTGTCACTTGTTTTATTATTAATATCAGTTTGATTTACTGCTTCTTTAATAGCATATCGTTACTTATTATTTACCAATAAAATAAAAACATAATCGCATAAAAAGTAATTAACACAGATACATACCCAGTGCATCGCTCCCCTCTCTTCGTACACTCCCATCTGGGGGTCAATTTTTCCGTTTTCTATTTTCGAACGTATGGGCCTCTGCCCCACAACACTGCGGCACTCACTCGCGTCGCATAACCGTGTGCTATACGTCGCGTTCGACGACCAACTGCGGATTACGGCCTCCTATCTCCTTCGCACCGGGGGAAGGCGCACGGGCCCCGCCCAGAACCGCCCACGTCTCGCACGCGAACGAAAAAACAATTTTTCTTTTTTATGGAACCCGCTATTGAATTTTTTGACGCGACTTTTTTGCAATATTGCAACGAATTGCGACCGAGTGGCTCTCTGAAAATGTTTTCGACGAGTGCCGGTGAATACCGTTTCGTAATATAGTAATCGCGACGCAGGCTTTATTCAATTGGAGTTCTAATACCTACACAAACTGAAGCGAAAAATTAAGACCTGTTCTTCACTTTATATGAAGGTTCTACATGTAGCGGAGATACCGATAAATCGAGATCCTGGGCAAGGGAACTATGACCCGATAAAATACTAAAGGAATAAAAGATTTTACATTATGCGATTTTTTATTAATGTGAATCTATAAACCAAATAGGTATGTTTAACCAGCTGCTTGACAGCCACGACTTGCGATACTTGTTCCTGAAAAAAATATAAATGTATATTTAGGTGAATTATTAAGTCAACCTACTTTACCTTACCCTACGATTATCCTGTGACCTGTAGTAAGAAGATGAGGGTTAAGTATATGGATTATACTAATATACCTTACCCTTGAGGGTAGGGTAGAGAAGGGTAGGTAACCTACTATATCCCACTTTCCCAGAATATTGGTTTTATAATTGAAAATCCCTAAAACTAAAACTAAGTAAAAGTAAGCTTTTCTGTCCGAAACATAACAGTTATTATTGAATTCCAATAATAATTAGGAGGATCATGGTCTGGATAAGGTCATTTACAAAAAAGATACACTTATAACCTGCAACGAATATAAGATTTAACTTCTAGAACTTTCCATGTCAGGGTAAAAGAAAATGAGTACCAACTAGAAGTTTAATTTTGAAAACACGCTTGCTACATAGAACTACTTAAAACTGAAAAGCAAAATACAACCTGAATTTCCAGGGTTTTATTAGAAAGTGACAATTAATAAAAAATTAAAATAAAACTGTGTTTATAAATTATAAACAATGCATTATACTGTGTAAGATTTGGGAACCCTAAAGTAAAAAATGGGTACCTGTGTCTGGGTTCCCAGCTCTTCCATAACAAACTTATATATATATATATATATTATAGGTTATTATTTAGAATAAAATATTTTGTGGCAAAATGATGATGAATTGTTCGACTAACCTAAAGGGAGAATTCTCAACCTGTCTTACAACTGACTGTCCGTTTTGAAGCCCTAGTGGCTAATGTCGAGAAGTTGTATATATCGTTAGCGGCCGGAATAACTTCGTTAGCGCGTCACAGTATGACGACATCACCGTCATTTGTAAGCGCAATAGGTTTCGCTACCATTTAAAAACATCAGGCGCTACAACCTTTTTAGGTCTGGGTCTCAGATTTCTGTATATGTTTCATGATCATTTGTCAATATCTAATAGGCAAGTAGGTGATCAGCCTGACACACGCTTTCGACAATTTAGGTCTATGGCAAGCCGGTTTCCTCAAGATGTTTTCCTTCACCGTTCGAGCGAATGTTAAATGCGCACATAAAATGAAACTTCAGTGGTGCACAGCCGGGTATCGAAGCTACGACCTCAGGGATGAGAGTCGCACGCTGAAGCCACTAGGCCAACACTGCTTAGTTAAAAACATACCAATTACAATAAAAAAGACCTTAGCAATAACTATTAACAATTAAGCTTCTCTTATACATATTATTTTGTGTAATTTTGCTGTTTTAGGTTAAATACATTGCCTACGCCAGGCGATGTGAAAAACTTCACGCTTTTTCACACAACTTTGGTACTGTGTAACTTCCAATAGCGATTTACAGAAATCCCAATAATGAGTTTTTGTTCCGCGCGATCCCAAGGTTGCGACAACAGCGCGACGGATATTGAGAGAACTACACGGAACTTGTATATAAAAACGACGGGATCAGTATCGCTGTCGCTATTGGAAGTTACAGAGTAAGGGTGCTGATGTCGCAACTTTGCGATCGTGCTGTACCAAAAGTTAATTAGATGTAGGGCTTACGATCGCTATTAATCGAAACGAATTTATATGGGATGTCCTTATATATTTTCTACTTAAATCCTACATATGTATAAACAGCAGCATTGGCCTGTAAGTACATTAGTGTGACTCTCCAAAGGTAGGTTCGGTCTACGTAGGCATTTAAAACTCGTTTGAACGGTGAAGGAAAAATTTGTGAGGAAACCGGCATGCCTTAGACTCCAAAACGAATCGAGGGCGTGTCGGCTGATCACCTACTTGATTCTTAGAAATAAACAAATACTCACGAAAAAGATCCAGAAATCGGATGTCCTAAAAGGTTGGAGTGACACTGGCTTTTTATCTATTAATATTCCAATATATAGCATAGCAAAACTAACGTTTAACGAATTGATAAAGAACGTCACGTGACAAATCGTAAAGTCCATACAAATTCGTTTGGGCTTAGTACGTCACGCCTATCGCAAAGTAATGTGGTCCGAAGCCCTGTGGCCGATACTGTTACGAGACTGGTATCGTTTCATTTGAAGTATGAACCGGAGTACCTGCTGTATGTTGCTCCATTCGTCGAAGGCTATTTTAAATAATACAGACGCAATCAAATCGTTCATAAATAAACCTTAATAAAGAATTAAAAAAAGTGTTTATTAATTATAAACAATGCATTATAATGTAGTACCTATAGTAGTTTTTTTTATTGTAGGCACATGGACATTGGACACATATAATTATGAAATCAATGTATACGAAATATTGTAAAACTATTTTAACAGTATGTAGTTTCTTGCCCATTCTTCTCCACATAAAACCTTTTTGAAGGAGCAATTAGAGTATTTTTTTTTAATATTTTAACTTTCGAAAGTGCCTCTTTAATATGCCTATTTGAAATAAATGATTTGACTTTGTCTTTGTAAGATTTTTTAAGGGTTCTCCAACCCTTTTAAGTAATAACTCTATATCATTTGTTTTTATTTCACTATTAAGATATTGGCGTACATATCACATGTAATCTCTTTGATTTATACAGTATACAAGGATCAGAATGTTAGGAATCAACACTTAGGACGTATACCTTTGTGGTAAACATCATTATAATTAATATAATAGGCAGCCTAAATGATTTATGATTAGGACCCTTGTCGCCATATGTCGTATTGTTTAACATTCAAATATAACGATTATAGAAACAATAATACCTAACTTTACACGATTCGATGGTCGTTTGTACCAAATCAAGGTAATTTCGAGGGTCTTGTGCCAAAGCGGTTTCGTATCAGGACTGACATCTGCCGTATGACGTTCGATTCCCAGAACAAGATTTAATTCATAGTTTGTTCTCGGCTTCTTGTGGGTTGTGAGGAATTAACCGTATGAAGCAACCCACACAGCTGGTACGGTGATATTCCACCTATAGGTCATAGTCATATGTCGGAGACCAAATATTGCTCCTCAGCGTCAGCCACAAACCTTAAGCTCCGTAGATAAAAATAAGAACAACCCCTTAAGGCTTTACAGAGACTTATGTGGGTCCATTGTGTAAGTATTAGCTACGATTTAACACAAATAAATACTTAATAACATGCACAGTTAAACTTACCATCCCAAACATAAATATATGGCCTTGTTGTAGAATAGGCATTATACGCTTTTTCTGTCCCCGTCAGATTTTCCTGATACGGCAAGAGCCACTTGTTGGTCCAAGAGGAGCTCATTAGCAAATATTTCGCACAATCTTGACTAGGCAAACGATCAGTTTTGTAGTGAAGCCATCCGTACCACTCAGCTGTCACCTAGAGTATAAAATGTGTACAATATGTTCTATGTGTAATTTTGTTTCTATGTGTGCAGTGAACGATGTACGACGTGTCATTTACAGAAGTTCAGCAAAACATAAATATTATTTTGTCAAAGGGAATGGACAACTGCCGTAGTAGACATGGGGAGAAATTGGTTATGCCAAAAATTAATCTGGAATTGAAAGGGAAAAACACTTTTCGTATGGCAAACAAGGTTTATAGTAACTTACCAAAAAGTTAAATGATCTTCCTTATAAAGTTTTAAGAAATCGACTACTACTACGACTACTTTTGGAAAATAAATATTATTCTATTAATGATTATTTAAGTGAAATATTTTAATTAATATTCATTTGATACAATAATAATATATTTTAATAATGTGATGACTGATGACTTTGATGATGTGATGGATAATGAGTTCATATTACACACACACACATATTACATCCATCTATGTAAAATTATACCTTTTATTTATGTAAAACAAATTTGCACGCAATTATGTGTGGCAGAATGTGCGAAGTTTAGATTGTACCACCATAATATTCTTGTACCACTTTCTTGCAAATAAATTATTATTATAAGGGGGGACAAATATATGAGAACTATTTTTGCAATGCGACTTGAAACATTAGAAAATAGCAATACTTGACTGGCGTCATAATTCCACTTGACCTTGGGGCTAAACTCCAGCCAACGACAGCGAGAGATCATGTAGTAAGAATTTTCAAAGTATTTATTCCCGAAAGCATCGGTGCCCACGAGTCTACCTTCCTGTTAAAACATAGGTGCATCTCTAATTCATAAAAAACTACATAAAGTGTTTATTTTTACACAAATTTTTCTTTTTGTCTGTGATTTTATGATTAGGGACTGTCCGGTCCAAGATAATTATATACCGCAAATAATATTATGATTGTAAATTTTTTTTATCATAACCATAATCCAGCATCGTAGGATATTTAAGGCGATATATTCTCTATCACCACAGGTTCCTTTTGTACTTTATGATAGATTTTATTTTATTTATTTATTTATTTTTTTATTGGACAATTCACACCAATTGACCTAGTCCCATGCTAAGCTGGTGAAGCTTGTATTATGGGTACTAGGCAACGGATATAGATACATATTATATATATACATATTTTATCACGTAATCAATATTTTAGAGTCAGCATTCATTGCCTCGACTCGAATGTGTGCTCAGCACTCGTTTAACTGCCTTAATGAAGATTATTAATAAAACAGACAAATGTGTCTCCCCAAATCCCATTTGATACCGGATTAGATCATTTCATGCATACTGCATTTATCCGGCAGTACTGATCAACAAAAATATAAAACTTCGGATGTTTACCTTCAACGTATCAGTTCGCCAAAGTTTCATAATACTCCCAATAGGACCTCCGTTATGGGCGATTACTTTAAATAGACGAGCCAATTTATCAAAGGCTAGGTATTGAAAAACCATAATTAGAACACGAGATTTTTACTTTATATTACGATCGACTACAAAAACGTTGTGTGGATATTTTGACGTGGGATGTTGACATTTGTCTTACTTATGATTTTTAACTAAATCTATGATTTATGAGAATTAAATGTGGCTTTGTAGCCATTTTATCGAACATTTATTAAGATTTTGTGTTGTTTCTTATAAATTTATTTAATCTTCGTGAACGCCCATAAATTCTACGCAGTTTTTATCTGGTGGATACAGGGACCCAGACGTCGTAGGTTCAAACCTTTTCTGTTTACCAATGGAGTAGATGGAATTTACTGATCATGTGCGCATTTAACACTGGCATGGTCGGCATTAGACCTAAAAATTCGAATGCATGTGTCAGTCACTGAAAGTTGATCACCTACTTGCCTTTTAGAAAAAAGAAATGATAACGAAACCGATACAGAAATTTGAGGTTAAGACCAAGGGTTGTAGCGCTGGTATAGCCTAATATTAATACAATCTATGAACACCCCACAAACTTGACCCCCCTACAAATACAATAATTCAATGGAACACGTTTCATCAAGTACATCAATCCCGTATATTCCAAATCTTCTTTAAATAAGTGTACTTAAATTGTTATTATATAATATAACGTATCTAAGCATTCTAAGCTACTCTAGATGCGATAGTTTACGTCATCTTAGTGAATTTTGTGAACCTATCAAATCCATTTATGAATAAGTCAACTTATAGCCGCACGTGAATCCGTGATAGAAATGTTACCTACACGTGTAATTGTTTGTTCGTATATATTTTTATCGTAAAAATGCAAAGTGTACAATTTAAAAAATTATCTTAATAACACGTGATAATAATTATTAGCTCTCATCCGTCGTTTTTATGTCGAAATTCGACGCTTGAATCACCGTAGCTGCCGTATGTAGATAAACCGATAAAGCAATTTTTAACGCCGAGGGATAAAAATTCGACAAACATGCATTACCAAAAATTCAACAAGTAATACAACGTTGATTGATTTTGGCACTTCAAAATATAGAAATAATGTCTTACTGTTAGCCACAGCTATTGAGAGTACTGGACTATATACGAAGACTACTTGGAGGATACAAGGATCTGTATGGTCCTTTTGCATAGGACTTGTGCAGTTATTGGCATACCCAAAGTCGAAAATGTTGCTGAGATTAAGAATCGGGAATCAAACACCGATGTTCAGCTATAGTACCTACTGAAACCAAGAATTTGTAGTGATTATAAGCTACCTGATACAGGTATCACTTATTCTTCCACAACTTACGACTTCACCTCCAAATAAAGACGTAAAACAATTACGATCACGATATTTTGAGAACAAAGTAATTGCAGACCCGACATACGTAAGGGCGTATAGATATAATATTAGGTACTCGAGACTAAAGCGAAAATCCTGTTACTGGGTTTTGAACATATTTTTTTTTTTAAAGACAATTCACACCAATTGACCGAGTCCCATGCTAAGCTGGTGAAGCTTGTGTTATGGGCACTAGGCAACGGATATACATACATAGATAGATAGACATATAAATACATATTTAAACACCCAAGACCTAAGCACAACACCAAATGCTCATCACATCGATGTTCGTCTCAGCCGGGGATCGAACCCGGGACCCATGGATTCGCAGTCAGGGGTACTAACCACAAGACCAATGAGTCGTCAAAACGGTCTAGTCTAGACGACGAAATTATCGCCCAAAATACGAGATGCGGGTGAATTATGTCAGTATGTTGTTCCAGTAAAAATTTGGAAAAGCCTTTACTGTGTCATATGACAGGCACAAAGTGAAAAGAAGACTAAAGAAAGACAAAAAGATTTGGTATGAGGCATACGAAATATAGTTAATAATAATAATATAGTAAGACCACACGACCATGGTGGATTATCAACTACTAACTATCTATACAAAGACTTCACGATATTTGCCAGACAACTGCTGCACAAGACACTCAAACGGATAATAAATAACAAATGAAAATTATATACAGACAAAAAGAGAGTATTCGGATACAATATTGTCACCATTCATTAACACAGACTTGGGCAATTGCTTGACAAGGAAATGCAATTTGGCGAAATAAGAAAATTCAAGACAGTATTAAGAAGCCACCTATTTACGACAAAGACAAGTGATATGGTACGCAAATATTTTTTTTATTTATGGCTGCACCAAGAAGGCTACAAATAAGAAAAATAAACAAGTTACACAAACTACAACCAACGTGTAGGTATATCGATGTTACAAGAACTTATACAACTTATGATTATTAAATGTCACCTAGTCACACTTCATAATAAAGCGTATGAAGAAACAACAAATATAGATACTTTTATATACTTTACTTATAAACCTAGTTTAGCAAAGGTGTCGAATTATAAGTACACATTTCAATTATGTAGAAACAAACGCCTTCGTCATTTAACGTAGCAATGTTACAATTACAATTAAAAAATATACTGTTAAACATTTAACAAATCTATTGACGGTTCTGAAAAAAAATTATTGTTAATATTTTGCTATTTTTTCGCTCCTCGCTTCCTTTAAAAGTAGCAAATACTCCTAATTACCGTCGTGAGCATGCCCGATTGTTTTGAGAAAATTCTATTTCATTGAGCCTGTGACCCTACCCGTAGGCCTTTGTCTGTTACCTTAGGTCTCTTGGTGCAGACATCCCGTAATTACTTACACGTTCACTACTTTTGTGTTAGGTTACAACTGTAGCTTAGGGATCCATAGGGTTGTTAGGTTCTACGTTCTCACCCTGTCATATATTTAGCTATCTAGTGTAGCTTGCTAATTTTAACACATCCATTTTCTACACAGATACTCCTGATACTTATCACAAAAAAGTCTCTCATAAAAGGTCTAACATTAGTACGTCTTTCCTTAGGATATTCGTTTCTGTCTAAATTAGATATCAATTAACCATAGTCGTAGGTATATAGACTGAGTCAGCCTTAATGATTTCGTGCACACACCAGAATGTTGGGATCCCGAAAGCCTTGTGTTAGGCACCAAAGAAAACCTATACACTGCAACTGTTCTAAATTATTATTACCTCCTCATTGTCGATGACTAAGATTCTGACTAATTCCTGGCACGTATTTGGCTAGTCGTTTGATGATAATTTAAAGGGATTTAAGGTCTTTAGCTATATATGCTGGAATATTCCCCTGCACGATAAACTTGTACACAAGTGATATTTAAATTTTCAGTTTTGGTCCAAACAAAGCCTATACTCGTATATTAATACGAAGCAAATAGAGTAAATTATGTCTCTAGCTTCTTATATCATATTAACATAGAACATAAACACATACTAGCAGACTCGGCCAAGCGTTACTGTGGCTAAGATTTTGTTATATTACAGAATAGTAAACTATTCAAGAGAAACGGCAGGAGAACACCAGTCTACCATGCTATTTGGTGGTTATGCCATTAAATTATAGCTTATGTGAACGTTGGTACTTTCAACACAGCGTCATCTGTTAGAATTGTGACTGTCAAATAATAAACAAATAATTTGCAATAAAATAATAATGCGGGTATAAATTAAGATGTAAGCTATCCTATGTTTTAAGTTAGATCAAACTGCACACGGTGTGCAAATTTGAATGAAATCGGTTAAGTAGTGAATCGGTAGTAATTTATATATATTAAGATATAAGGCAAGGTTAAATAAAACACTTTTCATAAAGCAACATAATATTTAATTACCAACGAAGTATAAAACTTCACTCACAGCCTAATCGTACAACAAAAACATAAATCAACTATACCAAAAAATATGTATAACTTTAATTTCTCTATAAATTGTTTTGAAATGAAAACGGCTTATGTTGCTTCTCTATTGTTTATTTGTTATATATTTGTGTCCCACGAGCTAGTGGAATTTACTAAATAGCGAAAATGAATATAAAACAAGGCGGTGTGATCATAAGACCATATATGTAATATTAATTAAATACTAATTTAAATGTTGTATATTAAAGACATTGATACTTACACTAAAAGTAAATATAAAATATTCATGTTTAAACTAAAAAAATACATGTAAGAATAATGTTAAAGCAGTTTTATATTCAAAAATAACATTTTGTAAATTAAATAAAGCAAAATATGGCAGATACAAGTACTATAATAAGTATAGTACTATATTATTTACCTTTAAAGTACTCAAATTATTTTATTGGTATGTGCAAAACGGACACAATAATCGTTGTGCCCTTTAAAAAAATACATAACTAGGAAACAGAAAAATTAAGTAAATTACCTTTTAATAAATTTTATCACCAAAACAGCCTGGCCCATAAAATACTGTTTTTCATGAATACATTTGTGATGTCAACAAAATTACAATAAAGCTTTTTTTTTTGAAGTTCCGCAAACCCGAATACTTGCTTCGATCAACTAAGTGTAATTTTAATTTTTAATGATACTGTCAGAAATTAAACAGTATATTAGCAAACAGGGTAGAACCAATCGAGGAAAAATATATTTTTGGTACTACTTTTGCGGACATAGTACGTACGTAATATGATCAATGAAAAACATATAAAACTCCTTTATTGAAAGTGTTGGCATATGGCATTATATTTTTTTTTAACTTCTCAACCACCAAGACCGAAAAGGTGCTTATGAAATTGGTGGTACGTTTGGTCACATAATTTTAAATTAAATATTTATGATATTATACGACATTAATGCATATATGTTATGTAGGTAAAGCTTTAAAGTGGTTCTATTCGATCAAAGATTGAATTTCTCGAAATTGTGATAAATTAAAAAATATAAATAAAAATAGTGGTATCTCGAATATCACGTGTACTGGAGATGCAACTCTAAGGCCTACAACGCACTAGCGGCTGGCCGCGATGCGGTGTGCCGCTGCGGTGTGCCGCTGCGGTGTGCCGCTGCGGTATGCCGCGGTATATACGGTCTGCCGTATTCCGGCTAACCGTCCCTATTGCGGTCCTATTGCGGTCTGCCGCAATCGTCACTCGTCAGTGCTTCTTGAAATATTGCACATTATGGACGTTGAAGAAGTTGCGGCAGTTATTTATTTATATCATCGTAGAAAATATCGTCAAAAAAACTCTGCGTAGTGTCTAGCGCAAGGAACAAGCGATGACTGAGGCGGGTGGGACGCGGTATTTGCGGCTAACCGCGCCGAGTGCGTGGAGGGGACGCGGCGCGCCGCATCATTCAACCGGTGCGGCTCGTCGCAGCTCCAGAACAACCGGAGCGGTTGACGGTTGCCCGCAAATCAGTGCGTCGTTATCGTGCGGTTTCATGTAATAATCGATGTGCGGCCTACCGCAGCGGCACACCGCATCGTGGCCAGCCGCTAGTGCGTTGTAGGCCTAAGGACCTGTCTTTTGCATCTGTTTGATTCATCGTTTTTTTTTCTGCAGCTTTTCATGTATCACCTCAGGTTGGAGAATCCCACGTTATGCTATCATGTTCGACCACTGCTTTTAACATCAGTAAACAAAATCATATCTCTCCATTGGTTTTCCGCTATAAAACTGAAAAAAGAGTACTTTGCGGCCCACTATCAGAAATTCTATGGTAATGTCCCGAGAACAATGAGATTTTTGGCCCTTTTAATAAAATAAAATTATATAAGTACACTTAACACTCAGATCGATTTTCTTACAACCTACCGTGTACAACATTAAGAATAATATAATTATAAATAATAAGTACATTTAACGTGAGGAAGACAACAAAAACACATACATTTCACAAAATTGTAACGTGTACAGATGGTCCCGTACAGTCCAGTCTCGAGAACTGTCCAAAAGAATTTTCCAAAAACAATTTTCCTTAAAAAATGCGTTTATGTGATAATAATTTTAAATACCTATTCGGTAGATTAGAAATTATAATTTACAATACAATTTTATTAAAACCCTTTCTTACACAATATGCTTTCATCAAAACCCCTCTCAATCCCATAAGGTGCCGTTCAAGTATTACGTAAGCAGATATATACTACATCTATCCCCCTCCCCCTTGTCAGCAAAGCTCTTAAATGGTATTGTGAGTTGTCATATGAGTAAAATTGTAAATAATTACTGCTGACGCCATCACTATATAAATCCACCCACGTCATCAAAAGTAAGAAAAGCAAACACCCCTGCTCCCCCCACCCCACCCCCCATTGTGCTTACGGAATACTTGACGAAAACCTAACATGAAATTAACTAAGCGCTAAATTGGAATATTAATTCATTATTATCACTTATTTGCACTAAAAGTAAAATTCAAAGACCATAAGTTTACAAACGCTACCTTTTTTTCGCTTTAATTTTTGTATTTATTCGCTTGATCTCTTTCAGGCAAGCCATGTACAAAAATTAAAATCATATATACCACAGAATTATAAAATAAATTACGACTATCAAGGTTAAGTAGACGAACTGTTAACGCTTAAGTATAGGATTTTAATGGAAGTCTTAAAGGGAGATATCGAATGAAATCGGGGAGCATGTTACTTAACACTATAGCGGTATCAAAGAGGCATACTTCTCCATGAAATTGAAATCATTGCGGTGATTATTGCGACCCTCTATCGTTTCCTATACATCGCGGCATCGTCAACGAGATAACTCAGCGAGTAGTACTTAATGTACTACTTTTGGTAAAAACATTATAATTAATATTGATTTGATACCGTTATAATATATTTTAATATTGTGATGATGAAGTAATAAAATAATATAAGAATTGACTATAATGATATGACTGTATACTGTATAATGTAATTGTAACTTCAATTCTACCTTTTAGGACAAATTTGCACGCCATTATGTGTGGCAGAATATGCAGTTTGAATTGTACCATCATAACAATTTTGTGCCATATTTTTGCAAATAAATTATTATTATTAGGTACAGCGACTATGCATTGAAATGATAAAAAAGTCTAATAAAACCACGGTCCCAAGTTCCTGGCGTCCCTTTTGTTGGGACTGGGGTGCGAATAATCCTCGGGTGTAATAGAACTCTAAGCATAGGAACATGGAATGTGAGAAGTCTAAAGCAAGACGGTCAACTACCAAATTTAATAAAAGAAGTAAGCCGATTACGAATTGACGTGATGGGTATCAGTAACACAAAATGGCTTCGTAAGTACAAATATACAACTTCTGACGATATGGTTCTCTATTATTCAGAGAACGAAAAACTTACGGAACCATTTGGCGTTAGAATTCTTGTAACGAAGGTAGTTTAGAAGACGTCAACAGATTTTTTTACTACTATCGAGCTTTGATGATAAAGATGAAGCGGCCCGGCCTTTTAACATTAAAATAATTCAAATGTATGCACCAACTGAGAAAAACCAGAGAGCTATATAGAAGATCTATATGCAGACCTAGAAACGCTTATAAACTACACAAATAAACATATCTAATCGTTATGGGAAATATGAATGCCAAATTTGGCTCAAAGTTAGTTCCTGAGATTTTGGGAACCGAAATGGCAGGGGGACCTTGATATAATTCTGTCAAGAAAAAGACATGATCATCGCCAATACATTTTTTCAGTTGCCACCAAGCCGCCTGTATACTTGGACTTCTCCAATGCACACATCTCAACATATTGTGCGAAATCAAATTGATTATATACCTCGAAGGAGCTCGATAATCTTAACCGAAAGGAAATTAAGAAGGCTCGTGAGACGCCTTTCACAAATAAGTGTGAAATCATGGAAGAACTGCACAACGAACACGATAGTTTCAATGTTTACAAAAATATTAAAGAAGTGTTGGGACTTAAGAGCAGCAATTTAACTGGCCTAGCCGATACAAACGGGCAGCTACTTTGTAGTATCGAGGCCAAGAAAAATAGATGGTTGGAGTACATATCAAAAATGTTATGTACGGCTGAAAGCTTGGACAATTAAAGAAGGTACCCTGGCGCTTAGAAGCATTTGAGATGTGGAGATGCTTCGTATAAGCTGGATCCAGAAGTTCTCGAACGAGAAGGTTCTGACGAGCTGTAATGTCGAAAAAACTTATGCAGCACATTAAACAACGGAGTTTCGTACCTCTACCACCTCCTTCAATTAAATATAATGGGTCAAAATCCAGGGTAAACCGCGTGTTGGTAGAAGGAAGAAATCATAGCTTCGCAACATTAGAGAGCGGATGGGTATTACAACTGCGGAAGAGTTGCTGCATCTGGCATAGGACAAGATACGCTTGAAGAGACCTCCAGTAATGGAGAGGCACTAAAAGAGGAAGACTATGCACTAGCCATTGCAACGCGATACAGATCAGTTAGATGCGCAGACATCTCTTTTAGGATATATTCCGCTACCGTGTTAAGTCACATGCCGATAACAATAGAATTAAGTACTTCTAGTAAAGGGTAATAACGTTGTAAAACTGGTCAAAAATATATTTTTAAATAACTATTGCAAACTAGCCCCAGAATTTTTGGCACAATTTTTTAATTGGTAATAATATTTCGCTTGAGATACATAAAATTAGGGAAATTTTGAGAAGCCAGCCGGTCCATTTATTACGAAAGTATTTAGGCTTATGTACTCAAAATCACCTTAACAGTTCAATAGTAATCGCTAATTAGTGCAGCATAATATTAAACTACGTTCCAGTTGAAACCTTAACATCACCTGGGCTATTCACTCTTTAAGTTATCATATGGTTGAACACATTTAATGACAAATGAAATTTACGTATAATATTGCTTATCTTATTGAATGCCCGGTCATTGTAGTGCTCAACCAAAGAAGTCGCCAAAAGAGACAAAATCCCTTCTAGAAGTAATATTGAAGATAGCAGAAATTACAAAAAAAAACAGAAATAATCAAAACAATTATTATTAAAAATCTTCTTGTATCATATTACAATAAATATTTAATCGGAATCGAAAAAAGTTAGCAAATACGCAGTTTCAACTTCGAATAAATAGATAATATATTTTGATGAGGTGTCAAATGTAATCAATTAAATTCGGCATACTATAATCAGTAAAAATATACATTTAAATCAGCTGATTAATAAAATACGTTTAATTTAAGTTTACATTTCATAGCTTTCATGTGTGAAACGATGGCGTAATTCGTCGACACAGATTAAACGTTATGTTATTAAGTCCGTCTGTCAAAAAATCAATAAAATGTTGCGTTTTTTTTCACAATCAAGTGTCACGTGTCTGTGGTATAACTAGAGATTGGCTAATCTTGAACCACAGACCAAAGATCTAAGCCATAGACTACATGCCATAGACAATTATTTTGTTATTCGATTCCTGATTGAGAGTGCGTATTTAAAAATTAAATCATTTTTTTAATACAAAAAATTTGCTATATCCATTAGTACTTCAAGATGTTAAATTTTATACAACTCGTCATCTTAATATAACTGTGATTTTAAATGTAATATAAAGAAGATTGTAATATTAAATTCCTAATGCAACAATGATATTACAAATGAATATTTTCTAAACTATATCTAGTCCTTTAATAAGCTTTTGATTGACACAATAACAATGTTTAATATTAAATATTAATAACTTAACTGTGCAAAAAATTAAGTCTGAGTCGAGCCATAGGTCCCAGTAGGCGGCCTATACTCTTCTGGTAAAGCCATAACTTGTTTCTTCGTAAAAGCATATTTCTTCACACCAATATTTTTGTATGTATTCTCTCTGCGACATCCCTCGCTGAAATTTGCAAATTACACTTTCATTAATAATACAAATAAATTATTTATTTACTGTAGTAGATAAGATGTATAAATTACAATGAACTGTAAAATCAGGATGTGAATGTCAAAGTACAATTTAAATTTTATTCAATTGAAAATCATTTATTCATATACGAGTATACTCTGGTTTTTAATTTTGTAGAATTCTTACGACCATAATTTTTTGATATTTCAGAGATAAGAAAACTTTTTCGCCAGGCACATTTTTCAATTTCAATACGAGTCAATATCTGACTCTATACAAATGACTGGCAATAAACTCTCCGCCACTCTTTTTAATCGCCAAGTTTTTGTTTTATAAAGATATTGTAAGGAACTGCAAACATTGACACCATATTTCACTCAACATATTGAAACAAAATGTCGTAATAATAAAATAACAAATGCAGCAAGCAAAATAGTCAGCCAGTTCTTTTCACCCGCTCTACGCCGTTGGGAACTGGTAGGAAATAGAAATTAAGAACACTTTTTTTTAATATTGACGTTCATAAGTTCCCTATATGAATAAATAAATTTTGATTTTAATTAATACGAAATATTAGCTCACCTTCTCATAATATTTAAAGCTTTCTTCATTTCATGTTCAGCCAAATGATATTCGGTAGACAGTATTGAACATTGCTCATACGTTACGGACATTCCAGTCCTGTCCTTAGCGCTTTTACACGACGTAAATCTTATACCTGTGACAAACATCAAGATTTATTTTCCGGCCTTTATTGAGACAAGATAACTAAAAAATTTCATAAACACATTTTTTTTTATATAACAGGGGGCAAACGGGCGGAAGGCTCACCTGATGTTAAGTGATACCGCCGCCCATGGACACTCTCAATGCCAGAGGGCTCGCGAGTGCATTGCCGGCCTTTTAAGAATAGGTACGCTCTTTTCACTGCCTTTGAAATACGCATAAATATTGCTTTTTCTTGTATTTCCGAAATAAATGTAATACATGATCATATACGGCGTATTTACACCCAGCGCATTGTACACATATGTCATAATCGACTTTAAACTATTAACTTCATATTTAATAGACAGCATTAGAACAGAAATGTTTTAAATATATGTATTTAGAATAGCTTCACTACGTGTGCCCTAACCTTAACCTGAACAAACATCAAGTGTCAACTGTCATTCGTCAAGTTTCGGGTTAACCCGTTAACAAATAATCGCAAGAAATTACTAAGTCAAGAGTCTCACCATTCATATGCCTAGTAGCTAATGCGGCTAAGTGAAGTACTTCGACATTTTTTGGCACTTTCTTGTGTACTTCTTTTTTTAAATTCTCCATTACCTCTTCTAGGGGCTTAATTCTTGATGACGCTGTAATATGTAAAAAATAATATTATGTTAGGAAAAAAGATATATTCAACAGTAGGGATTCTCGACCACGCATGGCTGCTCATTTATTTTTTTAAAACTTTAATAAATATTATCTATATTATTTTTCTCAGGGATAATATAGCATTGATGGTGGAATTCTTAAAACCAATCCAGTAGTTTTTTGTTATAAACATTTTGTATGTATGCAATGAATTTTTTTCCTTCTTCTAGGAATCATATAGGGCATTTTGGATCATAAACATGTTTGGTATTTTGGTACAGAAAAAAACGTATAATAATATTATTATTTTAACAGTTTAGGTTAGGGTGAACTATACAATAGATAGAGATAAAGTATGAAAATAATAAGTCTAAATAATATTCATATTTTTTTGGACTTACTTCGATTAGCTCCCAAATAGTCCACAGGAAATATTTTCGTATATTTATAGTAGTATTTATTAAGTCGATCCAAATTATCATTATTCGATTGATACTGGGGCGTAGTCTCGCCTAACGCTTCCGCTAATGTCGCCTTTTCGTTAATGCCAATATTGAAGAACACCGCAGTTATTGTAAAGTTCAAATGCTAAAATATTTAAATGTTGTTACATAGATTTAGCTTTAATTTAACCAATAGTTTAAAGTTCTTTGCGTAAAATGTATAAAGGAGTTTTGCGCTTAACCATACAAGTAAGATTTTCCATAGAAGTATTGATATATATATATCGAAGTCTTCTCAATGTAAAATATAGTATGTAAAATGAAGGATTTCGACGAAGATGGAATTTAAAATAACTGTCAATCTGAATAAACTTATTACATGTCAATGTAAATAGGGCAATAGATGTAGAAATTACGTAAATTTTAATGATTGTAACAGCTTTTATACATAAAAATCTTTAGAAAAGCGAATGTCTGGATGAATTGTTACAGTACTAATATAAAAATAATTCAAATATAAAGCATAAGTTCAACTATCGGTTAACCTATGAATAGTTTAATGAACTAACTGGCTTGTACGATGAAAGAGGATCAGCATATTAGACCCAAAAATCAAAGTAAGGTACAGAAAGCTAATAATCACTTATAAAAAAATTATGAAAAGAACAGTAGCAAAGGACAGTAGCCACTGTATTATTATTACCAAATATAAAATAGTTTAGCAAATTTAGTCTCTCATATGTATATATTTTGACTTATTTTAAATAATCTCATATATAATATTAATCCGCTATATTCCTCACCTCTTTTTAGTAAACTTCGAATAAAGCGCATCTGATATAGGGATAGTGACTGTTAAATTTCCTCGTGAACCAGAAACTTGAGGCATTGCTGTCATACTGAAAAATACAAAAAATGCTACAGAATTAAAAAAAAAACAAAACTATATATATATTTGATATTCTCAAGCATTTCATCCAAGCAAGAAAATTTAATTTGTTAAAGACGTTTGTATCTGAACAAAATTGATGATCCCGGAATCGAACTCAACATCCGTGTAACCTATACATCGAAATAACTTTCAAATACTTTCAATACAAAATGCCAATATTTTTTCATCATCTTTAAAATCTTGATCAATTTGAAATAAAATTCCTTTAAAAGATATTTTTGTTTATTTCAAATTCCACAATTTACAAAACTGCACAAGAAAAGATATCGCTAAGAACGGTCTACCCAAGTGTAAAAGGGTCTTTAACGTATATAGTCGATCCATACCTGTGTCCAACTTTGTTCAATTTAAAAAGCACGGTTTGCAAATCCTCCACAGCCACAACCATATCACCCCACATCGCCTTTTCCGTAGAATATAAACTTAATAATCCTTCAAAGCCACACAAAGGCCCAAGTTCTGACGTCAACAGCTTCACAACTGTTTCATGTGAGACTGAATTGAACCAACATAGTAGACCGGCCGTCACCGTAGTCAACTGAAATTTATTTACAATAATGTCACAAAAATGGACGTTACGGAGTTTTGAAATGATAACTTCTTATGGGAGGGGAAACCGCTTCGTTACGTAACGCGTTACGGCGCCAGACTTTCCCTTTCTTTCAAGCATACGGCAGCCGCAGGTAGGCTCCTACTCTCTGTCTTACCCGCAGCGCTAGCCGTATTTCGGACAGACGCTTTCCCCTATCTCTACTCAGTGTTTAGTGTGCGTTAGACATTTGCTGTTGCCAGTGAGCATATAACCTTAAACTATCACCGTTTTTGAAAATGAATTCTTTATTAACTGTCTTTACTAAATGAAAATTAACCCCATTTAAATTTAACATTGTTAATTTATAAGCTACGTAGTTTTTTAAGTAATAATATTTGAAGTAGTAATTAAAAATCCCAAAAAGACCATATGTGTAGCTGCTAATGTCTTGATTGTTCGGATATATATTCGTTATAAGACCAAAACTAAAATAATAATGTTGATATACCGCTTGTGAGAAGCATGTGTCCCTTCTAGTTTGAAGAGCAGCATTGTTTCTTGCCCAAATAGGTGATTCGCAACGTATGCGTAAAGCCGCGTGTGATATTCGAGCCCAGTGCGTTAAAGATTCCGCCTTGACTTTAAAATCCTCGGCAAGTGATCTTAGTGTATCTAATTCGTCTTCCTGAGGCTCTGAAAAAGGAAATACTTTAATAACTTATGGGTTTCATACCTTATGTAGGTATATAAAACTCTATCAACAAAGTAAACCGATATATAAAAAATAAATTTGAATTCAAAAAACACTCAGTAACAGTATAACAGGTGTTCAATAAAATGATCATGTAAGATTCTCCTTGTATAGAAAAAATACCAGACATTAGATTCAAATAATAAAAAAACAGTCTTTTCTCTTTTGTTTTTCTTTTAATAGATGCCAGTTGCGGTAGTAAAATATTTCTGGTTTATTAAATTTACAACGAAACTGGTAAAACAAGACTGGCAACATAAGAAGCAACATTATTATTTTACGCGCCTCCATAGTCTACGGTTCCGCGTTGGTATGCTGAGTTCAAGCGTGGAAGAACTATTAACGATGACCCCCACACACCTAACAACGACACCCTACAGTGACTAAGGGAGCGTTCAAGTATTACGTAACGTATTTGGGGGGGGTCCTTTTGTAAAACGTTACGATGCGGGGCGGGGATTAAATTACGCGTTATTCTTAATATTTTACACCACATAATAGTAACTAAAGAGTCACTAGGTGGTCACGAAACGTTTTACTATACTTGGGTACAGTACTGAAAAACGTTACGGCGAGTTACATGGGGGGGGGAGAAATTATGATATATATGAGATTATTTAAAATAAGTCAAAATATATACATATGAGAGACTAAATTTGCTAAATCAATAATCTCCAAAAATTGCGTTACGTAATACTTGAACGCTCCCTAACAAATTATTATAAAAGTTGAAAACATTGTCTTAGCGTCGTGTTACAATTGTTTTATGGCAGAAGAAATTATAACTTATGTAGTGTTCATAATATAGGTACGTATACACAACCATCTGTATTTTCCGACACGCAGAAGCAAACGACTTAGTATTTGACAATGCTGTTTGTGTTTAATACAAATACATCTTGACCGACTTTTGGCTCGATTCTTAACCATGTACGGAATATGGCTTCACCGTTATGACCCAGAAACAATTTTTTTTCCAAAACTTGGAAGAGACCGTCGAGTCTAACTCCAAATAAATTTAAGACGATTCCATTCATCGGTAAGATTATAGGCTGCTCTTTCTGGGACAACCAAGGGATTGTAATAATTGAATACCTTAATCATGGAGCGACTATTTCGGGGACTTAGTACGCAGAACAATAATACGCAACCAACGACGTGGCAAACTCGCTTAAGGTGTTTTCACCAAGATAGTTTTAAATTTCCGGACCTCCTCCGGAGCTCATAGTGGTAGGTGGAATTTCGGCCGTAAAAGGAACGTTTCAGTGGGAACATAAATTTGCAGATGATGATGCATTAGTCGCCGCGACGATTTTTAAGGTATCAGGATTTTTTTTAATAAAAAGGAATCATCGCTTTAGAAAAGAGATATACAGCTGAAAAGTGACTTTGTCCAAAAATAAAATAATATTTAAGAACCTTGTGTAGCTTTTACTGGTAGAAGAATTTTAAAAATTAGTTCAGTAATCACCAAGATGAAACTATGAAACTACAAACTGTCTTTAATATTATGAATCTTATATACCTTTATTAGTGTCAATAATCTTGATGACAGCTTCAACCACGGTCGCCAGACAGGCTTCAAAGTCAACACCAAAGCTATGTAAATAAGCCAAATTATTTTCACGTGTTGCTGAATCGATTGGACCGATGCTAGGAAGAGAAGTCTCCCTCGTTGCCGTCTGTAAAAAATAATACTTTTATTAAAACCGTAAATTTTAAACATAAAAACATTATAAAAAATTGAAGGGTAGCATATTTACTCATATTAAATTTAGCAATCTATTCGCAATCATAACAGTTTATAATAAAAAACATGTGTTTCTTTTTCTAAATATAATAATGAGACTCTATCATAGAACATTAAGTCAAGTAAGCCTGTTGTAAAATGGCGCTAAGATATTTGTATCACTGTCTTCTTAAATAAAGTTCTGTGATTCCAAAATGAACCATTTATATTAAAATCACCTTAGGTATAAAACATTGCATATTCGCGCTATTTAGTGCAAGAGCATTGAATAACAATCCTATTTATTTCTTACTGATGGACAGTATAGTGAATCAGAAATGTACAAATATTTAAATTTGTTAGAAATATTATACAATTAATTCATTATATTCTATTAGAAAAAATCGCTTCGCACAAAAGTGTCTATTTACTCGCAAGCCAAGTCAATAATAAAATTGCAGTGGAGGTGTTCTATAAATTTCGCATATGAGACATTCGGACATATAATAATAAAAAAAAGAAATAAAATGCAGTAAACGAATTCACTTAAAACAATAAGGATACATAAAAATGAAAAAAAAAATCTTAGTAATAATGGTTATGGTTATTGTCGCCATACCGCGACTCACAAACTGCATGTTGCTCTGTTAGATGATTAATGTAGGTGATATATTATGTTGAATAACACTGAATTCGTGTCTCATTACCACATACTAAATATACTTATTTCACAAAAGGAAATGACCCGTAGTTTTTATTATATTTTGCATTAATTCTCTCTTTTGGATAAAACTTTTGCCGACCGATAGGCATATAAGATTTGTTTTAATCGGTTTAATAACAGCTATAGGAGGATAATTTATAACAGATAAGTTATAAAATATGACATAACATTTAAAAGCGAGATCCGTCAGTCACGTAACCTTTTAATATCAATATGACAATTAATACAGGCTGGGTGACAGTCTTTGTTTAATTTTTAATTTTTAGGCATTTCTTAAGCCAGCCTCTGCCTGACACATCGTAGTTGAGGTGTTAGAAAAGAGTAACCTCACGAAGTTTTTCGTGGCGTTTGCGTAAAGAAAGACAAAAAATTCACTGTTAGACTAAATTGAAATCGCATAGCAGTTGTCAATCACCTTTCGTTTATCACTTCCGCTCAAGTTTTCCACCAAGGATCTATAAGAAATTTGCTCTAGGGACGTGTTCTTAAAATCGTGCCTCAAACTCCCATGCCTCGGTCTATTAGAATCAAATGAGTTTAAATCGTTCATTCTCGTCATGACCGGTGACCGAACAGACCTAAACGAGTGATTGAGATTTTTACGTTCTTCGCTGTTGAAGTAATCACTGTCGAATTTTAAATCCGACGCATCGAGAATGTTCTTTATGGATTCTTTTGATATTAAACGGTTTTGGCACACGTTTGGTACACTCGAAGACAAAGAGGGTGTTTCGACGGTGGGCGTTGTCTCTTTTGAACTGGAGCTTGACGATGCATCAAATGTGTCACAGTCGGAATTGGTGCCAAACATACTAAGTTGTTCTGTCAATTGCAATATAGTAGTAATTGTCTGAAAAAATAAGTATATGTTATAATGACACAAAATTGTATGAAAATATGAGATGTACTTCGTATCACCTACATTTTTGTCAAACTTAATACAACATTTTTAAAACAGACCAAAGAGATCGGTCTTCATACTACAACTGTGAAACAAAATTTTTGATAAACTATATGACCAAGTGACAATTTTTATTTATAGAAAGACAAAAGTTATTAAATTTTCCAGCTAGGAACAGTTTTTATTGGAAAATTCAGTTGTCGTTTTTAGTATTTTTCTTTACTTATTATTTATGTTTTCCACTGTTAAACCTAAACCACGATCATAATTAGCCAAATCGGTCAAGTCATTCTGGAGATTTAGCGAAACAAAATTTTTAGTAAATTAGTTTAATACTTTACCGGATTTTCAGAAGTGCAATTTTGTTTTGGCCAACCAATAATGGTCAACGATTCTTCAATCACTCCCGGTTCCCATAGCGTCAGCATGCTCCTTGTTTTTGTTTTAATAACTGAAATTAACAAAATATATGTCTGTGAGTTTCCTAAAAATGAGTATAAACATATTTGTAATTAACACACTATCCTAATTATTTGAATAGAAGACTTATAAGGCATTAGCGCATTGACGTTTTGAACTATATTAAATATCTAGCTATTAAACGCGGGTGGGTGCGCGAACTTCATTTGGCCTTAATATGATTTATTAGCCTACCATTTTAATACATACCAACATATTACGGATCTCACTGCTATGCTATCCCATATATACTTGAAGATTTTCCACAATAAGAACCTAAGAACTAAATAAAATTAAGTGTTTCATTTTTTTTTAATATTTATCTCTCTACAAAAACCTTCCTCAGTGATTAAATAAACAAAATATACTCGAATTGGTCCAGCCGTCTTCGAGTTTGCGCTTAGAAATATATTGTTATTTCTTTCAAGCCTGAAGTCATTAATAGTAGTTAAAGAGGTGCAGCATAAATTATTCTTAACCTTAAATAAGAATGTTAAAAAATGGTCTTAATAAATTAAAAATGTTTTCATAAAAACTAAATATTTTTTTAGTAATCATGTTTTTATATTTGCTTTTTTCTATTCTCTTATCTCTATATGTCCATTTCGTAAGTTTATAACTTATTAGTTGTCTATATTAATAATAAAATTTCAATGATTTTATTTTAATATTTTTAAGTATCATTATTATTTTCATTATTAACTAGGTTTCGCACGCTTGCACATCTCTCCTTTTTTTTCACTACTTTCTTTATGTACCTTTTTTTTAATTTTATTGTTAATATTATTATATAATTCTTATGTAAAAGGTGTAAATAATTAAATCAGTCTAATTATATTTATAATTAGAAACCACTAGGCCAACACTACTTTATTAATTTTCAAATAATTGTGTCGATTAAAGACTCAGCCGCGTAATCTAACAAATTACGGTCCCACATGTTACGATTAGCATTCTGTAATATGCAGACCTACCTTCTGTAATATGCCGTGCTTCTATATACTGCTTAGCCTGTATTAGAACAATAATACGATCCATATCCGTTACAATTTCATCTCTGAAATTTCTTAAAGTCATCACACTGTCATATTCCGATTGAATTCTATTAGACGCTGCCGAATGTAGGGCCGCCTTCGTACTATTTATATCTTTCACTTGTTGAACTAATCTGGAAAAATGAATCTGTATGTAATAATCTTTATAGCTTTCTGATCAATTGGTTTCATTTAACAGCATAACCTAATTACAAGAGCTTAAAAGTATTTTGTCCGAATATTAAGTCGCGGCTATTAGTATGGTTGTATTTTTATCAAATATTAAATTTTTAACTTCATTGTTTTACCCAAAATTACTAATTATTTATGTGAAATGGTCTCAAATTTGTGCATGTCCATAATGATTAATGATATAATTATTAATGGGCTAATGATTAGCTTTTAAGGAACTTGCATTATTTTTTCCTTATAACGCAATCTGTCTGATAAACGTCTCCCATGGGTTCATTCGTACGAATATTAATATACAGAATAAAGTCACTAGTGGGGTTCGAAACACACAGCCGTGTTATAATACATCAAGACATAGTTAAAAATAACATTATTGGAGCAAAAAATAATATCAAATATCTTTTGGTGTCTACATAAAGTTTAAAGATTGAAATTATTACTTACCTAATGAGTCCCCCGGTTCTTTCTGACTTATGTGAGTGAGCAGCAAACGCTCCTGCAGTTATTATATCGTGATATCCAGTTTTGTTTAATGTATCATTATGCACCCACATTCGTTGAAGGTGGAGATTCACGGGCGCAAATTCCAAACTGGAATCGTCTGAATAAAATATATTTGTAGATCATAATTTAGATCACATTTTAATATATTTTAATTGATTTAATAAAATCTTAATATTATCTAGAATTTATATAACTTAACTCACCCTTTTTACAACTCGCTTTAAAATAAGCATGTTCCGCTTGCTGCAAACATCTTTTTGAATGACAATAGTGTTTTAAGAGTGATACATTTATACTCGACAAGTCCAACTGTTTATTTTGCCAGTTTCCACACATATCACCTATGGACAGCAGTTCACCTAAAAGCTCCTTTTCCCTTTGAATAAATATGTCCCTTAAAAGTATAAAAAACATATTAGATTTTAATTTTATCAGAGTTATTTTAAAATGTCTACTACACAACTTGTAAATCTATAAAGATTACGCAATCCAGAGAAAAAATATATATATTAAAGAATTATGACTATTAAAATACGTAAAACTGTTAATATACAAAATACTCACAACAATTGTATTGGCAATTGGTAGCACAATTTTGGTTCAGCCATTATTTCATGAACATTAATATCGCCGCCCAAACCAGAATGAAACTTATAAGTTACTTGATGACTGTTAACAAAATTTTGCTTAATCATACTTCCGTATGCTGGAAATTTCAGTTTAAGTCCCAATCTAGGAGGCAAAGACTGGGATCTTCTATGGCATTGAATTTTTGTGGTATATCCAAGCAGTTACGATCATTTGTATGACATGGACTATTGCCTGTGCATGAGGCCTCAAGACTCCATCCATTAATAGTGACAAAACCAACTGTCTTATTGTCACGAGTTTTTAAAGCTACACGAAGTCTTTGCGATTCCTGAAAACATTATTTTATTAGCACATTTACGATTATATGCCTTGATCTCAATTCTTTATGATATACAAGAACTAAACAGTAAAATTATGAACCTCGATTTGGTAGATGTTTAGACCAAGAATACCAGGTAATTTATAGTTTCACTTTTAAACTACAATAGTTATATCATGTTTGACATTTAAAATGATAATAGTGCTCGTATATTAGGGAGCGTTCAAGTATTACGTAACGCAATTTGTGGGGAGGGGGAGTCTTTTGAAACATTACAGTGCGTTACATAGACGGGAGGGGGATTATTTAAACAACGCGTTACGTAACATTTTTGATTTTAATAAAAAAACTGGGGCATTAATTGGCAACCCTTTTTGTTTATGTTGAACGGGGAATCCCTTTATTGTATTGTACGTTACTTTTATGTTTGTTTTCCTAAGTTTATGTTTCGGGAATCCCTCGACTGTGTGTACGTGATTTTTATTTTATTAGAGTTTACACAGAAGCACATTGATGTTGTCAATGTTGTTAAAGATTGAGGAAATACCGTAATGTCCTCGAAAGCGGGAGATTTGCATCATCAGCTGTTCATGGCATATAAAAGCTGTCATATTAACTTGCCAGCACAATTGTGCCAATGCCAACGAAATTTGGAAAACGGCTAAAGAGAAACTAAAAAACAAAGAAAAGATTTTAGAACATAGGTATAAAGGATGTTATACATATGTAACTTAAAAATCTCTTGTTTTGTTTATTACAACTGCAAACGCAATTAATACAATAACAAAGGTACTACTTTGTTTAATGATTGTGTCTTTAATAGTCACTTAAATGTTACGTAACGTTAAGGGAAGGGAGGTGGGGTTACAGAAAAACGTTATGGTGCGTTACATGGAGGGGAGGGAGCTTCTAAAATCTTTAAAAATTGCGTTACGTTATACTTGAACGCTCCCTTAGTATCGTAGTTATATTTGTTTGGAAAATGAAGAAACCACTAGTCCTCGTGTGTGAGGGGCTGTTTCTTTATCAATATCATTAAATTTATATGGTATAAAAGTAAAACATTAAGATTATTAGTGAAATTCAGAGACATATATCGAAGTTCTTAAGGCTTTATTATTTATATATACATCCCTTATAACAAATAAGAAATATATATTCGCATCTCATACATTTGAATAAGAGGGTTAAAAGTTTATACCCAATTAAAAAAATAAAAGAAATTTAGATACATGGATAGAAAAAGACTGCCTGGTCGCCTATAATTCGCCTAATATAAGTCGCCTGGTGCCTACCGCAGAAGTTTAAACAATAACATATTGTAAATATGATCAAAGAAATTAACTTAAAAAATTAACTATGTTAATTACCTGTATGGTACTTAACTGCAGACTTGTATATCCCATAGGCACAGTAACTTCAGAAACTTTTTCCTTTACATCATATACTACGAGACGAACAATAGCTTTACCATTTATACCATCACTAGCCCGAAACAGCACAGTTTTTGAAAAACAAGGATTACTGCAAGACTGTTAAAAAATCATATTATAGCACGAAAAATTAAGTGTCTGGATTGCAGACCTCAGAACTTTTAACAGAAATTATATGTACTTAGTTACGTGTGTGTTATTTTAAATAAAAACAGTCAATAATCTATGACGTTATAACTATTTTTGAAGGTTGAAAGGTAATCATCAATGTATGGAAAAGAGTGAATGGTAATCTATTTAGCTGGGAAGCATAGTCATCACTGACATTGAATAAAGAAAGCCCAAGTTTGATTAGGTGGTATTGACAGTTTAATTCAGTCAATCTAGTAAGAAGTTAAGGAAAATGTATTGTAGGCAATTCTCTAAATGACGACTCAAATAACAATATTCGCAAGCTTTTTCATGTCTCTGGAGTCTGGAGAATATTCATTTATTCTATCAAAATATATTAGTGTAAAAACAGCAAACATTTGAATGTATGAAATGATAATAGAGTTCAAATTGACTGTATAATTTAAAATTTGAACTTACGTCAACAATCTCTGTAGAGCCATATTTTACACACAAATCTTTTGAAAAGCCTAGGTATACCACAATTACTGGTGTTGGTGGTCTACCATATGCATCACATAGTAAATTATCGCATGATAACGCTAACTCACATAATGGAACTTCATTCATATCTGAAAAAAAATACTTCGCATGACTAAATAACTTCTACTGAGAAAATCTAATATTAATGGAAAAGTTAATCCATGTACCTAAAATAATTCCCTTTTGAGCGCGATACCTTGAAACGTCAATAACAGGCCTTACTTTATTTAATTTTTCCCTCAATTCTACAATTTGAGTATTGATGGCATCATATGATGCCATTTCAAGAGACTTTATCCAAAGTGTGCGTTCTGATTCTTGGAATGTTGCTAATCTGTAGCATGCTCCATTCTCCCAAACTGGAATTTACATTAAAAACCTTATGTGTGATAAATGTAATGGACCTTCTGAAATACTTTTATATAAGCAAAACAATGCATTTATTTGGTCTAATAAAAAGATTTAATTTTATTGTAGTTTAAAATCAATGTTACATTTTGTGTTGAGGAATTTTGGCACACCGCATCATACCTTATAAAATAAATAATTGCCTATGTTGTGGTATGTTGCACAAATTATTCATACTAAGCTTTTTAATCAAAAAAATCGGTTTTATTTAAAACGTAAATCACAACAATTACTGTTTGCAATATTATGGTTACCTCAGTGATTTTTAATAGTTATATGTCAAAAAAGCATGTCTACAAAACTTACTAGAAAAACCACTTACCTATTTGAAATGGCCAATGTCCAGTTTCATCGCAAGCTTGTACTTTTATTACATGCCTACCTAACACTATTACTCCAATGGGTTCATACCAAGGCTCAGAGCCTTTCAAATAAAAAAGGAGATTCCCCCTTAGACGAAACCATCTAATTGAATATGCTGAAATGTGATATATTATAAATAGGGGCACATACTCATACATAATGAATGATAGTGATACAATATAGAAGTTTTACATACAATCACTAAGTCTTAGTGAATGAATGTATGCAAAGGAGAAAAAAGCATGTAAGGTAAGTATAGACATGTTCTTGAAACCTAAATGCTGATAGTAAAATTAGTAATCACACACTCCTGCATCAGCAGCATGTTTTGCAATAGTTTGGTATATTTGATGCGCATAAGAATTAAAATAACACAAAGCCTTACCTTCTGATCTTCGAAAGAATCCGTCTTGTTTTTCTTTCATTACTATCACACCTTCACGTTCAAAGTTTTGAGTGGTTTGTGAAGCTATTGAAGCTAACACTTGTTTATTGTATCTCATGGCTATCACATAGTTTTAACATTCCTTTAGATAAAATATGAATAACAACACACATAGCAATATCTATTGATCTTCATGTGAATTGTTGGTATAATTTGTTTTCCAAGGAACATAGAAACTACTTTATAAAAAATGTCATTAATCATAATCAGATGTTGATCAGATGCGACGCTTGACATAAGGAAGCTCTATAATCAAGTGTTGGCAACACTGATTCGAATTAGTCATTGGCACATCTCTATATATGTCAAAAATTATCGTGTCCTTTCTTTTCAATCCACGCCCAGTGGCTATACGCGGTTGAGCATGCTTTTGTTTTAAATACACATAATAATCATGGATACCAGAAAATTAATAGAAATATTGAATGCTACTATGGTTCCCAATCAAAGGGAGCAAGCCGAAGAACAACTTTCACAGGTAAGAAATAAAATTTAATGATTTGCATAACTTTAATAGAATACTACACGGCCAAATTAGACATTTTCTGAAATATCTACTAAAAGGCATGAAGAATGCTATTGTTTTATTACCATTTACAAAACTTATTTCTATCTACACTCATCGTAATGCTTTTGCGTGCTTATATTTACATACATTAAGCTACATAAACACATAACCTCAAAAATAATGTTCTAACTCCTGTACTTTTTCAGCATACTTTATTTTGTCCATTGGTCGAAAACTAAACGTGGTTATTATATTTTCTTTCATATACTCGTTAAATATGAATTACATAGAGAATGTTAATTGTTAAGAAAGCTGCAAGTTGGTATTGAGCAAGTGACAATAACTTAAAGTGATAATAATAGATAAATGGTAGTAGTGTAGTGTGCATGTTGTAGATTGTATATAATTATAATAAAATTGTAGGTTGGTCCATTTACCTATGCTTTGTATTGTGTGATTGTCACTTGTTTATGAAGCTTAGCCATAGCCTTCTTTTTAATCTAGTATAAGACCTAAAAAAGAATTAGCTAAAATACAAAAATAGTGCATAAAACTTAAAACTCTAGAAGATGACATCATCAACAACACACTATAGATACAAAATAATTGAGGTAGTTACTCATTTCTACAATGATTTACATGGTCCAAAACATATAAATCAGATAACAGATAATTCCAAAACACAACAACATATAATCAACTGAAAATTGTTCGATGAAATATGTAAAATTAAAAAAGATAAAACTCTCTGAGGACTCTGGTCCTCAGGCTATAACAAATCATAAAACAAATGAGGCTATAAATTTTTAATATGGTTAGGAAAGCCAAAGAAATACCCAATAAATGGGCAGGATCAGTCATACTTTTACTATATAAAAAAAAGGGTCCGTGTACTTATGTACGCGCGTAAGAAGTTATACTTCTTTGGCAATATTAAAAATAGTTTGGCTTTGTTCCACCTCCAGTTTTTGATGCTTCACAGCGATAAGATGATAACTCTTTTTTTGTATTCAATTTAGTGCTGATTCATCAATCGTTTTTTGTCTCTTTTCCTTATATTTGCTAGATAAAATCAGAAAAATTACATGTTTTGATTAAACAATGTGGTTAATTTTTTAATCAAAACATTACTCGATAATAATAATAATACATACGGATAGTTAACCTCAATTGTATTGAAGCACTTAGGAAGGTTGATGAGCACAGTTTTTTCACAAATATTAATTAGTATTGGTTTAAATATTCAATTTAAATCACTTCTGATTATAATTCAAAAAGCATCGCTAAATTTCTTTGAAAAAATAATTAAAACTCCTTTATTTGTTTAAAAGGTAAATGACAAATGTCATTATGGTCATTCAAAATTGTTGGCATACGAACTTCACGCATATTCTATTTCTTTATTCTGATGTTGGCAACTACTGCCTGATAAGCTTGCAAATATGTACAAATTGTTTGCTTCCTGTTTAGAATGATGCATGTCAACATATACCAATAAATATCAACCAGTGCAACAAGCTGATTTTAGAAAAGGCTATATTATGGTTGTGAACCATATACCATTTTCATAGCTTAGATATGATTATAGAAAAATATTATGACTATATAAGTTACTATAAACTCTATAATTAGTACTCAAATAGATAAGGAAAGTGTGTTAGCACTCGAAGAGTCGCAGTGCCAAAGGATGCTTCTAGCGGAAAACAAGCAAATTCGTGATTGCTATGTGTCGAGATTTAGTCGACCCCAGTCCGAAAAACCATGTAGCATGGTTTCGTTACTGATCAACAAACTGGCCGAGAAAAAAATTATCCCCAAAGCTATCATCCTGAAAGAAATGAAGTTGGAATGTGCCAAAGAAATAGGCTTTGTGGATCCCTAAGTCGTCAATGGCCAAATATTCTATATTATAATATCCAAATTTCACTCTTATCACCTCTCCTTTCGACTTCGAGTAAACATTAATATAATCTTTTTATCTTTACAGTCTATTAAAATAATTGGCTTCACTCCCTCCATATTGCAAGTTGTTACGTTGAATGATGTTCCGCAACCAGTCCGATTGGCAGCAGTGATTTATGTAAAGAACATAGTCAGCACTTCATGGCATCCAAAGGAAATTGAGGACGGAGATACAAAACCTATTTACAATTTACATGACCAAGATCGAGCAATGCTACGAGATAATATTGTTGATGCAATTATTCAAACACCACATTTAGTACGAGTTCAACTATGTGCTTGTTTAAAAACTATAATAAAATATGATTTCCCAGATAAATGGACACAAATTGTTGATAAAATAAACATATACTTACAAAGTTCTGAGCCTGATAGTTGGATGGGAGCATTACTATGTCTTTATCAATTGATAAAAAATTATGAATATCATGTCTCAGACAAAAGAGCTCCGCTCAACGAGGCTATGAATTTGTTATTGCCTATGCTATATAATCTTATGGTTAATATTCAGTCAGACCAGTCATCGGAATCTGCACTTATACAGAAACAAATTCTAAAATGTTTTCATTGTCTAACAAAGGTAAATTCAGAAAATCTATTTTATTATTAAGTTTTTCTTTATTATAACTAATACATATTTCTTATAATTTATAGTACATTTTGTCATTGGACTTAATATCAAAAGAAACATTCACCAAGTGGATGGAAGTCTTAAGATCTGTCATGGAAAGGCCCGTCCCAGATCAAACATTAGAAGTTGAAGAAGAAGAGAGAGTACAATTGCCATGGTGGAAATGCAAAAAATGGGCCATCCATACTTTATACCGACTTTTTGAAAGGTTCTGACTTAAATTCATTAATTTTATAATTTGGTAAACATTATTAAATTAATATAAATACGAGTGACACTCCCAACCTTAGTGAAGGATAGAGTATTTACTCTATTCTAGCACGTTTCACTGATTCCTGTTTGTGACTTTGAAAACACTCCAAATTATAAAAAAATTATATAAAATCACATTAAAATTTGCTTTTGTTATAGTTATATTATGGTTGCTGTATCAATGTTTTTAATCTGTATTGTTTTATTAGGTATGGAAGCCCAGTAAATGCTCGTGAGGAGTATGTAGAGTTTGCTGATTGGTACTTGACTACTTTTACTGGAGGGATCTTAGATGTATTGTTCAGAATTCTAGATCAATATAGAAACAAGATTTATGTATCACCTCGAGTTTTACAACAGTCTATAAGTTACATTGATCAATGGTGAGTAAGATTACAATGGTACTATTATTGTTCATGTTCTGTAATAATTTGACTGTTGTATAATATTGAAATACAATATTAAGAATAATGTTTTTTAGTGTGAGTCATGCTTATTCTTGGAAACTCCTGAAACCACATATGTTTGCCATCATCCAAGGTGTGCTGTTTCCCCTTATGTCATATTCTGATGCTGATGAAGAATGTTGGGTAAATGACCCTTATGAGTACATAAGAATAAAATTTGGTATGTGTTGCGCTATTATGTTCATCTAAATATTTTAACAACCCAAACTACGTTTAATGATACTAGAAATATTTTAATTTACTAGTGGGGTTCAATTTACAAATATTTGCAGATGTATTTGAAGATTTTATATCGCCAGTTTCTGCAGCTCAAACACTCTTGATGTCTTGTTGTAAAAAGCGGAAAGAAATGTTGGAAAGGACTATGCAATTTTGTATGGAAGTTTTGACTAGCTCAAGTGGAGCCTATGGTCCTAGACAGAAGGATGGTGCATTGCACATGGTTGGCACACTTAATGAAATTTTAATTAAAAAGAAATTCTATAAAGAGCAAATTGACTCCCTTTTAAGTCAATTTGTGTTCCCAGAATTTCACAGTCAATGTGGATTCATGAGAGCAAGAGCATGCTGGGTCCTTCACTGTTTTGCTCGTGTCCATTTCAAGAATGAAGTCCAGCTAGCTGAGGCAGTGAGACTTTCAATTCATGCACTGTTGCATGATGCAGATTTGCCAGTTAAAGTTGAAGCTGCAGTTGCCATACAAATGTTGTTAACTTCTCAAGAAAAGGTTCACCAGATGTTGGAACCGCAGGTTAAGGAAGTTACATGTGAACTACTTAAAGTTATAAGAGAAACGGAAAATGACAACATTGCAAATGTGCTGCAAAGAATTGTTTCTGTCTACACTGAACAATTAATGCCTATGGCAGTTGAAATTACGCATCATCTATCCCAAACATTTATTAGGGTAATTGAAACTGATAGTGGGACAGATGAAAAGGCGATAACAGCTATGGGATTGATAAACACAATGGAGACAGTGCTCAATGTAATGGAAGATAATGAAAAGATTTGTGAAGAACTTGAGCCTCTCATTTTAAATGTTACAGGTTACATATTGTACCATGATATCATTGGTTAGTATAAAAGTATTTATGTTAAAAATATTTGATGTGGTTTAAAGGTTTTCATGTATAAGCATATTCCTGCATAAACAGCGATACTTATTTATATGTTTTTCTAATGTTTACTACAATTAATTTTATTTTTATTTCAGAATACTATGAAGAAGCAATGAC